TGCTGTAGTAGTGGTCATTCTTAAGTACTGAAAAAGGACAGTAGATGCACAAACCTGGTTTGGTTTTGTATACGGTTTGCTTCCCGCTTCAAATTGAGGCTGGTGTGACCCGTTGCTGTTTCCAATGTGGCCATTGTAGAGCGGGTTTGTGCGATGGCGTCCCATAGTCGGGGAATAGTGGTCCTGAATGACTCCTGGACCTGTACCAATGCCACTTCCTACGGATCAATACTTATTAATGAGACTTTTTTTTTCTTTTCCCAAAATCACACAAGGGAATAAAAGCAGTGACATACCAGGCATTTGTCCAAACATATCAGCCAGCCCACCAAGAGTTTCTCTGTCAAATTTGATCCTTGTTGGTAGGAAGGAGGAGTTTTCCATGAAGAATTCATTTCTCATGCCATCGTTTTGAGGTGGAATAAAAACACCCAAATCCTGCAAGGCACAGAATCAAGTGAGATTGCAGGACAGCCAAGAGTTCATTGGTAATCCTTCTTAAAATTGTCCACACAATTTAAATCAAACTGGACCAGAGAGCTAACCTTTACTGCATCCCGACGAACTTGGTTGATCGTCTTTGGTCCATTGTCGCTATACGCTTTGCGAGCGGCCCAGTTGTTTGCCCGCTGCTCCACTGTGTTCTGCAGCAGGAACCGAATCCTAGCCGGCAATTCCTTGCTGTTAGTTAAGGACTGCATGCGGCTGAAGTACTGATCCATCAAGGACTGGAAGGAGAAGGCGTTTGTTATACAACAAAACCGTTTGAGAGGAGGCCGTTACTGGGTGTTAGTCTGCACACTCACCCTAGCCTTTTCATGATCAAGTTTAGGTCCCACTGTTCTCATTATCTGACAGAGACATTCCAAGTCTTCACCCACGTCCTTGAGTTGGACTCTCTTCTTCTTCTCCAAAAGCTTAAAATTTTTTTTTTTTTTTAAAGTTAGAGCTTGATTTTGATACTTAAAAGTGCCATTTCAGTATGGGATTAAACAAATTACAAATAAAGTACATACAAAAAATGAATTAAAAATTCAACAGAACTTACTGTTTTGATGCACTTATGAAGGATAGATTCATGGATGAGGTTGAGTTTCCCAAGTTCCCCGATGAATTTGATGTTGCCCAGCATCTTGCTCTTTGCAATACCACGCTGCTCCTCCTCTTCGGAGGTGAGCGGATTGTCATGTTTGTCAAAGACTACGGGGCAGGGGAGGCAATAGAGTTGACTACAAGGAACAATTTATGCATATTTAGTAAACAACCATGACATATAGTTCAAATCCCTTACGTTCGACATTTCTGGTGCGGTTTTCAAATTCATCTTGAAGCTTGGAAATCAGAAGCCGTCTGAAGGTCTGTAAAACAAATAGTTAAAAATGAACAACCACAGAGCAGCAAAGCCAACCTCCCTGTGAAAATGAATTATGTCACAAACTTACAGTATTCTGCTTATTTGTTACTGGATTTTCTGTCGGGTCTTCAAAGTTCGGTGCATCCTCTGCCAAGCGAAGGCATAGTTGAGCATATAACTGACTATACTTTGGCTCTTCGAGGGCTTTGTCAACAATCTAGAATAAAAAAAAGAAAATATTTTCAAAAATCAATCAGTTATGACACAATCCCCACCAACATTTGAAATTTCAGAGGCTGTAGCAAGCCAAGAGTAGCGTGGTGTACTTTTGTGATTTAGAAGTGTGTCCAATAACTTACTCATGCTAGCGTGTAGTAAAGTAGAATAATGCCCCCTCGCTGCAGTATTAATTCAATAGGATATGACTGCATTGTTCGCATGAGTTATGATTAGTCCCGATTTCACACCGCAAGACTTTTAATGGCACTGTATAGAATATAAGATAAACCAGATGCCATTTAAACGTTCCCACTTAAGGACTACGGCCCTTTCACTTCCAAATTAGGACTAGAACAACTTTACACATTGCTTCTAAAAATTACTATGTTTAGGTGTTAATTTTAATACAGTGCAATTCACTAAAATACCCACCAACAGGATGGTTCCTTTTAAAACATGTTTCGATTCCACACCCACATTGAGGAGCTCCAGGCATAGTTTGTCAAACTTCTCTGGGGTCAGCTTATTAAGTATGCTAAAAAACAAGAGAATGACACGAGTTGAAAAGACCACAGACGGGTATTACGGTCCAGGCGTACAATAGAAATGCTCCAATCAACTAAAGCATTATACCTTGAGGAAATAGAAACTTACCCTCTCACTTTCCTAAAGATTGCGTCATTTTGCCCTTTCTCGTTGGAGGAGTTGGCATCTCGTCTAGTGCTTCGAGAAGGTAACCATCTCTGAACGCCAGAACCTGGGGTTTTCCCCAGGAACTCGCTGGAAAAAGCACAGGAGTCAATACAGATAAAAATGACCCATTACAACAGGTATTCAGTCCTGATCCAGTGTCTGATCTACGAAAGGTCAATCTACAGATGCCCGACCATTACGCAATAGGGCTTGGTATATACACGTTTAAAAATATATTTTCCACCACCATTGCAGATGCTCCTGTCATTTATGCACCCAACTCATTTGTTTAGGTAGACTAAAGGATCCACAGGATCCCCAAAACAACATTTCTCAGAATAGAGCTTTTGCCGATGAGATTATGTCACTCTGGCGATGTGGAAATAGTTTTTACTTCACCACACAGCAAGTTGAAACTACGCATGTGAGTAATTTGAGACATTAACGTAGAGGTGCCCTGACCGGGCAGCGAAAGCTCGCATTCCCCTCTACTTGCTCTTTGATGAGAGAAAGTAATAAAAACACCCAGGCAATGCTAGTGATGATGATGAAAGTGCTTTTATTGCACTGTTTGGGGGTGTGGAAGCAGGATCTTATTGTGAAAGGCTAGAATAGAGTTCCTGAATATGTTCACAGCATTGATGACAACGTTGGCAGCTCTTACCAATGTTTAATCTCTGGCTGTCTGCCTGGATTAAGGGGAAATACCAGCGCACGCGGATTCACCGGCTAAGAGTAAGATTTTTTTTTTTCTAACTCCAATTAAAAAAAACGATTTGGCTTGAAAGGTAAGGTACGGCTTACTTTTAACACTGTTAAAATCACGAAGCGCAAGCGCTTTCAGCTGATGTCAAAAATATTAATGACAATGTTTAATCAACCTGAATCATTGGCAAAGTGGAGTAAACTTGTATAGTGCTACTATAACTAGGAACCACCACCAGTGTGTAGGGTACCAATATGGTTAAAGAAAACGCCACTATTCCCCAGACGTGTTGAAAAACATAAATATGTGCAAGTGCAATTTAAGCTTGAGATGATTATGGATTTAATATTAATATTAAGAATGACTAGGTGTTCCATGAGAAAGTGTAAAACTTTGGGAAATCACCTGTTGCCGACAGTCTTGGGATAGTGCTGAGGTGCACCCCCACCTCCTCCCCCCACACTGTGATAAAAAAAAAAAAAAAAAGGAAAAAAAGGTTTTAACTAAACATAAGTAGACGTGAGCCTAATCCTTTATTTAAGATGGTGTGAGTGTTCAGCAGTATAAATAGGGCCGATGCAATAACATAAATGACCAATACCTGAAACGAGAAGGACCCCCTGACGCAACGACACTCTCCACTTTGGCGGCTTGACAAAGTATATCTGAAAAGAATAATGTTCCGGGAAAGGGAAGGAAAGAGCGACCTGCAAGCAGAGGCGGATACAAAGGGAACATGTTAGCTCACAGCTAATCGCTGCGAAAACGCAGTCGCGTTTCAGTGTCATCGAGCGCATCACAGGCACGCTCAAATTCAATCTGTCATCGTACGCGTGGTTGTGTAAAGAAATAAAAAATGAATAAATGATCGGATGTCTTTTTGTCCTCAGCGTTGAAACGTGAAATGGGATTTTGTAACAGTCGCGTAGCAGCGTCATCGTGGCTGCGTCGTACAAGAACACCAAGCGTAGCGGTGTTGTGGCACTTTGGGTTTCTGATTACTGTGAAACAATAGAGACTGGTTTTGTTAAAACAGTCTTCGGCGAATCCTAATCATAATCCAATGGGTACCTTATATAAACTCGTTAAACCGTAACCACCGATGGCAGCGCCACAGGAAGAAGGAGAAAAAACACGTGCCTCGTTGGAATTATGTCAATTAACTTGAGGTTCATTAATAATTTGGAATCAAAATGAATCGTAAAGCACCAATGTGTTAATCTGCTTATATTACGTGGCTCGAACGCACCTCCCGAAAATACAAGATTTTCCCCATAAAAAGGAAGGAGAAAAAAAGAGAAAAAAAATCAGGGCGTTAAAACGAGTGACCTGTAACGTTACATACATGTTATGCAACGTGATGATACTGGATATGGACATAACATGACGAAGAACAGACTAAAAACAAAATCCCATCAGCTGATTTTATGAGGTCTTTGTTCAGACACCGGATGTCCACACAGCGACATCTTGAGAGGTTTTGTTCAGCAGGCCGCCGGTACGCTAACAGCTAATAAGCTAACGTTGGCCGAAACTCTTCGAAAAACAAGGTTTTCCTAAAAGGTAAAACCGGCAAATCTATACATCATAACACCAATGAAGTCCGTTAGAACCGAACGTGATAATTCACGTTGGTAGTACACCGCTTGGAAAACAAAATAAAATCGTAAAGAACACGAACTTCCTACCAAAGCGGTGGCTTGGCTAAGTTAGCTGAATGCTAGCCGGGCTAGAAACCCATCGAGACAGCTCACCTTTTACAAAAAGAACGTCAGTGTGAAAGCTGGATGGTCGTCCAAATAAGAAAAAAAACAGATAGACGATGGAATTGAGCTAAAAAAATCGTCTTTACACCAATGCAGTTGGGTGGTATTTTTGTTCGAAAACACGACGGCTCAGACGGTGATGGCAACCTGCTAGCGCAGAGAAAGAATGCTGACTGCTTATCTACGTCATGCGGAAGCCGCTATTTGTATGGTGCCATCTCCAGCGTCATCATCCCACCCTGTCCACGTTACGCACGGAAAACTCGCGCACGTTTCGCAATCTGCCCTCATCCCAATAACATGTGGTGCTGGTGTTTTGTCCGGAGGGTTTATTCTTTGCCACGGCACCGAGGATTACTGATCGTCACAGCTGGAATATAAATCAGAGTTTAAGAATTAAGTAACAGGTTGGCATTATTGCATTGTAGTTAACATGAGTTAATATCTCATATTATTGATATTCATAACAGTGTAAACTGATTTAGAGTCAAAATACGATTCCAAATTAGACTTTTAAGACTTTTTTAATTATGTCATGATATTGGCTTTTCATCTGATTATTTTGATTCATTATAGAGAGTTGTTGTTTTTATCGGGCCTTTTCATGACCATGTGGACTGTAAAGTTGCTAGTGAAACTTTATTGATCCTCTCAGGGAGACCTCCAGAGGGATGTCCCAGCTTAGTGTTAACTACGGGGTATGGACTTTGGAGCCACTCGGGACTCGGCCTTTCTTTACTCAAGGATGCCACAGAGGAGAGGTAAAGGCTGTCGACACAGCATCCAAACAAAATGTATTCTGCTACCCTGATGCCCATAGTTTATGGATGAGCCTGAAGGATAATTCCTAATTAATAAACCACTCAATGATGACTTACATGCTGGTTTCACACACATTCTTCTAGTTTCTGCCCACCGGCATGGTGGATGCAATGAGTCAAGATATCTAAAAAGGTACTGGCCTAATATGCATGACGTCGTTAACTAGAGGATTCCTAATGGTTCGGAAGACTACGTAACCTTTCAAAAGCCACCGTAAGGGCAAGATTTCCATATAATTTGCAGTGGATATTCATGAGACCCCCAGGATGAATCCTATGTCTATAGTGATGACTTGACCTTTCTTTTAGTACCATCATTAGCATGAGATGTAAAACAATTTCCCCTTCTTTCCAGCTAGGCTCAGTCAGTATAATATAAACTTTTCAGGATTTGTCTCCAGAGAGGTCTGTACTTTATTGCCTGACCTCATTATGTTTTTCTCTGGCTGTTGTACAGTGGAGTGGAAGTGTAACAGTTTTATAAAAAGTTCTGCAGATTGGGAGTTTATTAATGAGAATATAACATCCATATGATTGTTCACTTTGATTCAGCAACATGAGTCACTTCCGGCCGGGAAATTATTACCGTGCAAGACCAGACGGGTAACGCATTCTGCAAGAACGCCCATGAACATGAACATAATTCTAATGAAACAAATACCTTGGCAATCAACTCGTGAATTTTTATAGTGCTTGCTCGGAATGTGTTACCAATACAATGTGACATTTGCTTAGTTCCTGATAACAAGTTGCTGCTGGCTTTAAATTAAATACAGCAGCACAACATTAAAATCTACTCACATTCTCCATAAACAAGCCCTAAAAACACTTCAACCATCACTGCAATATTCTCATCAAATACCATATTCTGAGTTGGGAGAACCTCATTAAATTTACTGATGTGTGTCTGCTTTTTTAAATTTTATATGGTATGGCCCCGCCTCCACTTGGTGATTTTATTGAACAAAGCAGTCAAAGCAGCAGACTCACTATCTGCTTCAAGAGGTGATTGTGTTATTTCACATATGTCAAGCTGGTTTAGCAAATCTACATTCTCTGTGAAGGTAGCCTACTCGTGGAATGCTCTGCCACCACACATAAGTGCACAACACGCGTACAAAACCGCCAAGAAGAAGCTTAAGAATGGGCTTGTTGCCAACCAGGTGTGCAGGCATTGACGTGCTGTCAGTCCTGCCGGCTTGTTTTACCTATATGTGCATTTGTCTTTTTCAGTTTTGCTGTTTTCCTTTTTTTCCCCTCTGCGTCTATTATATGCTTCAGTGTTATACTGTATATGTGCTATGTTTGTTGTATATTATTGCACATATGATGCAGGAAATATTAAGTGTTTATATTGCATAGAGTATTTATATTGCACGCACATAAATTGATATCGTACAAGACGGAATGAGTATTGGTGTAGATTTGATCAAATCCTGTGAAATCAAGCTCCACACTTCAAATGAAATAATAATGATGATCCTGGAGAAGCTTTGTGTATATTATACATCAATTTTATTATTTCTAGAGGACTTTACATGCATTGTCAGATGCACTGCAACAGTCTCACTATTGATGACATCCTAAATATGAAGCTAGATATTTGAGAGCTCAATAGTTCACTCTGTATCTTGACTTCTTCCTACAATCCCGATCTGGGAGTTAAAGGTGTGTTGCATTGTCATTTTTTAGCAGGCTAATCACAGTAGTCCCGCAGAATATGTTTCTGTATAATTGTCCAGAGTGAAAATCTGGCCAACTATTTGGGTTAATTCATGAAAATCTCATCATGGCAAACAGTGTCAATTTTGCTGCCATGAAAGTGCTCAAAAAATGTAACATGCATTCGGTGTATTTCTGACTGGAAAACTCCATCTGCAGAAACAGACCTTGTGACGTGATTGAAAGATGCTGGACAGCTACAAAGGACAACAGGTTGGGAGATGGATTTTGTCTAAAGACCAGAACAAGACCTCAACTTTACTTCGGCGATACCTCAAAATGGCTGAATGTGCATCACAAGTAAATTGAATTGCAAATCCTTGATCGAGTGTCGCTCTTTTCTATGTTATTAAATCTCAGTCAATCTCTGTCAGCCGAACTGATTTCAGATATGGGATATAGGAGTCAGATCTGGTGAGTAGTATATGTGGAAAGGAGCTTTATTCAAAGGTGCGCTGTAGGTTCTATAATTAGAACATAATAAACCATCGAACTAAACAGTTAAGCTAGCCACAAAGAGTCTTGCCCAAAGGTCAACGCTAGATTCAACGAGATAAAACTCTGGCCTAGAGCATGATAATACGTTGGTTGTTTCCAAAAAGGGAAAAGAAAAGCATCTCCCAATCTATAAAACAAAGATATCCGTTAAATGGGATGCATTCAATTATCATGTAATCTGCTGTAGGGAAGCTTTCTAAAATTAAGACTTTATATAGAGGAATCTGTAGCAATGACACTGATAATCGAGCAAGATATGAAATTCCATCCAAAACCTTCCCTCCAGTGCCATTAAATACAGAAGTGAATTAAACAGCTTTGAAAATATATTATATCCAATAATATTTTCCTGAGGGCTTTTGAATTACTCAGTGAAACTGATGAATTACCCAATTTTCCAGAAAGTAGTACAAAGAGGAAATATCCATCATATTAAGCTTCCGATGAGACCATTTCTTATTAGGAATATCATTTCAACCATCACAGAGAATATACACCACTGGGAGACATACAAGTTATGGATCAAGGTTCCTCTGGGAGGTCACAGACTCTATGCCATCTCACACTACTTTGACTAAGACCGAGCGTTATTTAGACATATATGTAGTTTCCTACACATATGTTTCCATTTTTAAAGCTGAAGCATAGGAAAAGTCATGAATAAAAGAAAAGACCGAGCCAAAAAACAGGACAAAAGATCATTTGAGTTTCATTCATCAAAGCCACTAGATGGTGCTACAGTTCTACATTCTGTTTTAATTTGTTGAAATGTAGCCATTATTTGTGTCCATTGGGTTTAAACTGTTTTTTATGCAAATTCTTCTTTTTTCTTTTTCTTTAAAAAAAAAATACCCCCCCACACACACACACTTTCTGAACTCTCAACTAAAATGTTTCACAAATATATGAATAAAATAACCCTACTTCCTTGCTGTTTGAATTCCCATCTGGATCTCCATGATGTGCACATATCAGTACAAACACACTCCACGGATCACGCACACGTCAGGATTACCAGAGCTCGATACTCTCAGTGACGACCGGGTCAACACTTTTCAAAATCATCCATCGAGGAATAGTAAACTGAGGGATAAAATCCTTTCAAGAATGCAAGCTTAATTGTTAACAACCGCAGCTCTGCTGAATTATTCTCCCTCCTCAGTTTCAGAGACCTCTATCCACAACATGCCTCTCATTTACCACATAAGGGTGTCCACGCTTAGCATCTAATTGGCTCTTATTTGTTGCTGATAGAGTGCAGGTCATACATGGCAGAGAGAGTGTGTGGCCTCAAACATTACAAATTAACATACACGACTCCCAATCCCGCTCTCGCGGATAGTGCGTTCAATATTGTGAGCACGTACTGGATGAATATGCTGAGGTATGGTGGCGGTCCTGTGCGCCAAATTGTGTTGGGCTTGAGGGACCGTCTGAGTCATCACTGGCAAGCTGTGCGTCTGATTCCGGTTATGCACTCTGGCCGGGCTCTACCTGGCCTGATGGCATTAGCATGAGATGCTCACAGAGAGGCCCCTCGGGAGAAGTCAAACTATTTCATCTGTCCTGGGCCAAGAGTTAAAAAAAAAAGAGCCAACATACTGAACGTCCAATCTTGTTGGTCACAAAAGAAGTTATCAGTTATTCAAGTTGTACACGTAGTTATCAATTTTTCGTATGATTAAACACTTTTCCAGCATTGGAACATGAGTTAATGAATGACAAAGATGTACAGAAAAAAACCCATCCTCAAGTCACGTCACGTGTGTGTACAACGCAGAGACACTCATGAGACACACACACAGACACACATGCAGAGACACGCACGCACACACACATTGAGGGTTTCCACTGTTAGATGACCACCATTAGTCTGTACAAACACGCGTGGTCCCTAAAGATTGAATTCTTCCAACTTAATTTCTTTGTTGTTCGGAGGATGGCATTTTTGGTTTTAAGAGAAATATCCTGACAGCTATTGTTTCGATTTCCATGACAATAGAAGGAGATATTGCTTGTTCCCTCTAGATGAATTGTGGTACAATTGATCTTCTGACTGTTTTATCTGTTTGCCCAATACTTTGTCTAGTGACCAAATAATTGCTACATCAATGATATTCCCAGCAGCTGTACTTTGACGTTGAGCACTGGACATTTTACAGCTTCCGGATGATACAGTATATGTTTCAGGGTAAGTAAATGTCTATTTTTTAAAGTATGACATCAATCCAGGTGAATACATAAAGCCCTCAAGCATTCATCGTGGGACAGACGCTGAGGCGCTTTTTGTCCTGTGTGAAAGCCAGCATCATTCTGTGAGGACAAAGAACTACTGGGCATCACACAAATAACTTCCCTCAACACCCAGACAAGTTATAAAGTAATTTGTCTGAATCACTGCACAATGTCACTGAAGCTCAATGTTCTCAGTCTGCATGCAAACACAAGGCAGCCAACAGAGGTTTGGTAGCTTTTCAAAGAGCTTACTGCTTCTTTCTACTCTAAAATGTTGTAGACAACCCAGTATTCATTTTCATTGCAATGACTTACTACTGCTTACAAATTACATCTCGTTTTATATAAATGCGATTGCCAGCCCCAAATACTTTGTGAAAGGTGTTAAGAACTAAATAACGTATTGCAACATATAATGAAATATATGTTAGATACAGCTAATATTAAAAACATCAGCCCCTTTAGAACATGTCACATTTGTCATTTTAACAATGCTATCACTGCTCTAGTGCTTTTAAAGCACCCTTTTTGATTCATAATGGCATTTACTGATGGATTGTGTCTTTTTGCTGCTCAATAATGTTGGGTTATGTGTGGCTGATACTATATTAAATGCATATGAAACATGAAATTATAAGAGAGCACGAGTTTTTCCATTTCAAGAATACAGCAAAGGTCATATGTATCATTGCAATTTTAATGAATTAGAAAGAAAGAAAAAAATAGCTCCAAGCTGTGGAATTTCCTCACTTACATGGCTTTACAACCCCAAGCTTGACTTTACTGAAATAAATAAATGAATACATAAATAAATAGGACTTGAAGTGTTTTACATAAGACCGCAAGGAGGTTACCCTGAGGGGCTTTCATCAGTCACATGCGTTAATGAGTAAATATGAGGAACATGGATAAGCTTACAGACTCATTATTTCTTTCGACTCAATGTGAGTTGACGTTTTTATGTCACCCTGCTGTGGCTCTCAGTGGAATTAAAATAGCTGAAAACCAGCAGTTAATAAAATGCATTCCTGTATTGTTGACATGCATCCTCTGAGGTAGCACCCAACAGGTGTGTGTACTGCTTTGTTTGACATAATAACTGCTTTAATCAACAACAAAACAAATATTGATTATATGTATTGACATTTACTCCGCCTAGAAGCCAATCATAATGAACTAATTTCCTGGATCAGGCAGTTCTGGGAAAAATGCTGAGATTCGGGTTGTTGAAAGGGTCAGAAGGGTCAGACCATCACTCAACCGCTCGCTGTTGTAAGATCTTTTCACCGCATAGCTGAATTATCATTATCCATAGCGAGCTTGGTGGAGTGATCAATATCGCTGATGCTGGTTTATGGCATGATTGAAATAGCTCTGAATCTTGACATGGATATTATGCTTTGTTGCACACCATTTCCCATTCAGATCACTTTTTGGGGGGAAATTAGTATATAAATTGTATAGCATTTGTTCTTTATAATTTAATTACATTTATTTGTATAGCCAAAAATTCCAAATCCCAAATTAGCCTCGGAGGGCTTTGTAATCTGTACACATACGACATCCTCTGTGCTGGAACCCTGTCATCGGCACGGGAAAAACTCACCCCCAAAAACCCTAAAAGGGAGATAAAAGGATTACTGACTGAAATGACTACTTAATAATATCTTTAGTCAATGTAGTAGAATTAAAATGATAACAAAGAAAGTGATGATGTCAGCAATAGTAATAAGACCAATAATAATGACAGTGGATGTTAGGCGGGACCACTGCAGGAACAACCACATTCCAGATATGACCTTTGTATGAGTAGATCTCACAAGGGCCATTACAGGAGGCAGGACCAGGGTCCACATATAACCATGATCCATAGAAACCGGATATAGAACGGCTGATTGAACATTGTGTGCAGATGTGGAGATGTACAGTATGTTCTACTAATCTAGGCCGAATTATGGAAACTATGTTAATCGTCTCAGAACCATAAACAATAAATGTACATAAAACGGTAAAATCCTAATTATACAAATAATTTTTGTTTGAAGTTTGTGGTATGGATTTTCAGAATAAGCACACAGCAATGATTCAGTTAACTAACAGAAAAAGGACGTTTCTTTTCCTCAATGCCGCTTTCTCTCTTCCTATCGCCCACCCCGTTTTCCTGAGCTGGATGAGTTGTATTGACACTGATAGCCAACTCCCACATGGTACAGATTTTAGTTTTGTTCCTGGGGTGCGTTACACATGTTGACCAGATGTCTCCTCCCAGCGTAGACTCGGACAGATATAGATCCAAGTAGAATGGAGTGACAGGGTGAGGACTCAGCTGAGCAGCTGGGAGACAAACTCGTTCAGGCAGAGGTAATGTGACCGGCCCCGAGACCGTCTGCTCAGCAAAGGGAGAGCCGTGCTCCTGTCTGGCTCTCTCAGTGTCTCTCTCCGTCTGTCCTGATGCTCAAGTCTGCACTGGGAAGCATTGAAGTCCTGTCTGCAGTTTCTGTCTGTCAGCGCAGATCAGAGTCATTACAGTCATGCTTGAGATGTGCCCGCAGCCTCAGTGGTTCAACTGAAGTCCACTCTGAATGGGTCAAAGGGGGGATTCAAAGGTTTTTGCCACTGCCCAACAAATACCCAACAGGTTCTTACTGATGGATTCTAAACTGGATGCTGTGCAACTCGAGATTATATGAAATTTGAGATTACAACAACATTTTCTATATTATTAAACTGTCAGTATTTATCTAGTCAAGCTTGTGTTAGATACACATTTCAACTGTTACTGTTAGCTAAATCCTGTCACAGGCAGTAGAGGGAGGTGGACTCAAATGAAGACAGTAGGAGAGGATAGGGAGATTTCACCAGTGGCGAATCATCGGGACTTGCTATTTCATAACTTTCCTCTCAGGTCGAGATTTGGAGGAATGGCCTTTGTTAGAACTTTTATGCAGTCATATTTCAGCCATCATGTGTTGCCCGGCTG